AACTTAGTAGGCTCTTGATATCCGGTTACACTTTTCTTCACAGATGTGGACAACAACAAACAATAAGGTACCTACTGGTTTGGGCTGAGATTTTGTTAGGTGCCAAGTCTTGTGATGAGATTTGGGTGGCTTTGAGTTCCTTTGAAAACCTATGTGTCAAATAGTACTTGAGAGCATTGTTGAACATTTATAAACACAGCAGTAGTGACTAAGTTCAAGCGCACAGACAAGGGTCTTGGCTAAAAGTGCTGCTGCGAATCAGCAGCTCCTTTCAGCTACAGCAGCAATTGTGGCTATTTATCACTAGGAGCAAGCCCTGAGGTGCTTCACTGGAAGGCCATTTGAAGTTTTAAGCTTAACGTACTTAATTGTCAAAAAACTAGAAAATCTTGAAGTTGTATGTGGCTTTTTAAAGGGCTCAAATAGTTATGTAGATGACCCACTGAGCTATGGAGGAAAACGCAAATCTGTAAGGCTATTTAGGGTTTTGAGACAGGTTCTGGGGAATGAATCGGGGTGGGGGAGCGGAAATACCCCTTGCTACCTGAAGAAAATTAACTTCATGATTTTCATTATCTCTCTGCCAGGAAGAACACATCTGAGGAAAGTGTTTACTCGTGTTCATAATTCAATTCCTGTTCTTCACACAAGAACTACTTTGCTATTGCAACTTTACTAGCCCGCAGCAGAGTTCATACATAGCCTGTAACAGTTTTTTTTTCCCCCCCTTCCTTTGTAAGCACCTTCTTGAAAGTAAAGATTTTTGTCATGGTTGAGTGCAACTCCATGTCATAGAAGCATCCATTAGACCTGATGACAGACTGATTAGATGCCTGCCTTTTGGTACGTGATATTGAAACTTAAATTCTAGCACACCTAAAGTTCATGCAATTCCAGGCCTCAGTCAATTAGATGAGGGAAAAACAGGTCAATTTTTTAGACTCCATGACTTGGGCAGTTGATAATCCTGAGAAAACACAGGACTTGGTACTTTAACAGAGGGTTTGCTTTTGTAATTGATTAACTGCTGCCTCCTGCTCTATTGACCTTCACTAATTTGTGGTAGTGTCTGTCATTCCTTATCTGCAGCTGAGTGGGGAGGTACATATGTAAACATCAACATGGCTGGGGTCAGAGGGGACTTCATCTGTCTCTGTAGTCTGTTCATTTTAATTGTGTATAGAGCCAGGCTGCAAGCTTGCTGGTTTGTTCCACAAATCCACCTGAAAATCTGCAGCCATTGTCACGCTGTCGCCGTTTTAATTGTGACAGCATGAACAATGAAAATAGCTATGGATCATTTAATAGCAATGAGAGTTTCTTTTGCTGTGCTCCCACGGCTGCCCCAGAATCCTGCCTTCCCAAGGGGGGCGAAGAGGCTGACTGTGATTTGCACGCTATTTGCTGGATGGACCATTTAGGGGCGTGCTGGTTTGCTCTGGGTGACGTGGTGGCCTATAACAAAGGCTTTACGCTGCTGTTGTGATTGCAGTAAGGCCCTACCTTGACCTGTCAGCAGGGAGGCTGCAACTGGGAGAACTGCCCTAAGCTTTCACTTAAAAATAAATAAATAAATAAATAAATAAAGTTGCAGTAAATACCCTAAAGCTGTATTTCTCAATGTTTGGGATATGCCTATATGAAATGGAAAAGCATGTCAGGGTTCACTGGGGCCTGCCAAAATTGTGCTGCTTTTAAGGAAATTTTTTACTGTTATTACCAATGTAAATGCACAATTGGCACTTGTATTAGGTAAAACATTGTGACAAAAGTGCTGTAACTGTCTTTTTGGCAGTTTCTATATCTCATTTCTGCTGCAGGATGATTGTATATACAACGAAAATTGCCTTTTTCTCCTCTAAATAGCTTCTGATAAAGTATGAGTTGTTGGCATTATTTTCTGTAGCCGTATGCCATATGTATGCCGTAATATATTTAATATATTTTAGCATCAACTGTTTTTTTAATGAGCATGTTAAATGTCTTTATTTTAATTTCATCTCAATGTTCAGCCTAGCAAGCTTTGTACTTCAGCAGATGATTCTTCAGTTCCTTTGATGCTTCTTCCCTTTAGATATTTGTATGCATGTACCTTATTTTCCTCTTACTTTACATTGGCTAAGCTGTTACATGTGGTAGTTCTTCCAGATTTTTTTCCGCTAGACACCTATGCTGTTTGAAGCTTTCCAGTAAGTTGTCTAGATACGTGCTCAGAAGTCTTGGCGCTAGCAATTAGCAAGCAAATGACTGCTTCTCTGCCTCTAATGGAGAAAATGGAGAACCCAAACATGCTTTTTCATTTTCCTGTTGTATATCCCTGTGTGCTCTCCCAATTATTAATCAGCTTCATTTCAGGGTTTGAATCGTTTCTCATGCAGAGATTCTAGTTTGACATTTTTCAAGTTGATTTGCGATGCATTTTGTATTCCAAACCTTCCATGTTTTCCAAACAATACATGTATGTATTCATAACCACTGCTGATGTGATATCAATCAGGAATAGAATTTATGATACATTTTCTTCCTGCTATAGATTAGGAATAAGAATACTAAATTTATTTCCTACGCTCTAATTTGAGCAAGAAATACAAGAATAAAGGGAGAAGATTCTGAAGCACTCTTTTGTTTACTCTTCCTTTGCTTACTCAGTCTTGGATATCTGGAAAGACAATGGGTGAATTAATGGACAGTCAGCAGTTTCACTTTGGCAGAAGTCAATGAGAGTCTTTTTAATGGCATTTTACTCTCCTTATCCTCCTTCCAGCCTTGCTACTTTAAATTGCTGTTCAGAAACCAATGTTAACCCATATGGAATGTGGAAAAGTACTAAAATTCATGCTGTGCATCTTGATGAGCATCTCAGAGACAAAGGTCTAATGAATTTGAGTCCAACGCTCCAGTTTTTGCAAAGAAACTGCATTTCTGAAATGAGGCAAGCTGAGACCAAGTTACTGCCTATAGCTTGAGAGCTTTGCTCTCCCTTTAACTGATGCTGTGTAGCTGTGAATCCTTCAAGGTGACGTAACAAATCCTGAACTGTAAACTCGCAGATCTGGATGATAAAGCAGAAAAATAACTTGTGTGCATATTTAAGCCTGTAGCTGTGTTAAACTGTTTCCTTTAACTCGTGCTCCTGTTTTTCTTGCATTGTTTTCTTGGGAAGAGCACTACTATTTTTGTATGTGAGAGCCTTAATGGTGAGATTTCTTCTCCAGTATTACAAAGCACTGCTGTTATCCACAAGTGAAGTACAGATGGAAGAAAGCCATTTGGTATACTTGGGAAACTGCAGTAAAATACTTTTCTCCTCCTTTGAATTTGCACATTGCAAAGAGCTTTAACAGAAAGGAAGCAACCACAATTTTCTGGGAGGTGAGGAGAAAGGGACAAGATCCTACGTGAAATGTGTTAAACTTGTGCAGCTAGAGGGAAGAAGGAAAATGTGAAATGTGTTAAACTTCTTGTGCAGCTAGAGGGAAGAAGGAAAATCCTCAAGAACTTTTGGGTCTTAACAGAGTTTCCGTAGACATTGCACCTAAGGACACAGGTTTTATTTTCCCCCCAGCAGCCAGCTGACATCTTTCTCACTTCCTTAGTGACATTGCTGGAGTGAAGCGCAGATGAAGAGCAGAAGGAATTGAAAGCAAGGTCAGGCCCAAAATAAAAAGGCACTGTGGCTTTCACTGAGCTCCTTATGCCCACCCAGAATGGAAGGCTTTTTTCTCCTGTTAACAATGCTTCATCTTAGTAACGAGTAAATGACTGAAATGCTGGGTGAAGCGAGGTGGGGGGGGTGGGAAATTGGGTTAACTTAATTTTGCCTGTATTTCCAAGATATGATCAAAGACCAACTAAATAATTTGAGGGAATTTTTTAAAAGAAAGTTATAGCTTGTAAGAAAATTATCACAGCCCCCTAAACTTATCAAATATTGTGTGAGATCTAGGTTTAACAGTGATACAGATTGTAAGTAATAAATTATTTACACAATGCACTTCATCAAGAATAATCTCAAACTGCTTGCAAGAGTGGCTGTGGCTTATGTACAAACATATGTAGTGTATGCTGGGGCCAAGTGAGTCTAATGCCCATCTTACAAAATTACTTTGAAAATTTTTTTCAGGAGTTAGGTCCTTAGTACTGCTGAAAATTAGGCAGTCTTAGTCGCAAAAGTGAGATGTAGAGGTGTTTGCAATTGCTGTATTAAGAATGTGTCATACAGTCTGTGTGTATTTGTATACAGTGCTTTGCCTTAAGTTATTTGTATGGAGAATTTTTCTTATCAGGAGTATACCAGTCATCTTAATAAAACAGTTGGCATACTTTGATCTAATGAGCACATGCATTTCAAGGTGCCCACAGGAAATGAGCCTGCTGGTAAGAGAAGGGAGCGTTGCAACTGGGAGGAGGGGAGGGATGATGAGCAAAATTGCCTTTATTAAATGATGGGAGAAGGTGGCAGTGCTTGGAGGAAGAACTCAGCTGGAAGCTGAAATGGGCAAATTGGTGTCAAGGCTGGGAGGGAAGTCTATGAACGTGGCCCAATGGGGAAGAAATACCAGACCATGCAGGAAAAACCCAGCAAACTTCCTTTCGAGTTACGAGCAATGTGTAGTACTTAATGTTAGCAAGGTCAGAGCGCGTGAGGTTAGCGTGCTCTTGTATTTTGAGCAGAGGTATTCAATGCAAGGAGGGAATTTGCTGTCCTGCAGTATGACAAAGCACAGAATTGGGAAATTGTCTTAGCAGGTTCACAGAGAACCGAACTGAGGTTTGGAGGTGAAAGGAGGCAAATCTGGCCTACTCCAAGAACCTGATGATAAGGCAGCTAGATCCCTTTAGGGAGGAATCATAAATCAGCTAAACAACCTAATCTTGCTTTTCTGATTTTGTATTATATAGATATATATAGACTTCCCTATCTTTTTCTGGTGTCTTTCTAGTTAATCTTATTATTTTGGGAGAAAATGTTAATATTTTGGTAATCTTTATGCTTCTAGGCCAGAGAGCTACAACCTTGTCTACAAGAAGACAATTGCTCCTGTCCAGAGCACCTGGATATATCAATGCCATACTTTGAAAAAGAAGAAAAGAATTACTGAAGAAAAAAATTACTGAGAATGTACAGGGAGATTATGGGAGTAAAAAGCAAACTTCAACTATATAAGCCATTTTTACCATACTCTGCTGTGTTGCTTTAATACTTTTTTTTTTTTAAAGGTATACTTAAGACACTGTTCTCTTGTTTGCCTGAAAGTAAATGTGATACGTTATGGTGCAATGAAATAATGCTGCTTCTGTATAAACCCAGGGATTAAGTCTACTGCTCTGCTTATCTGGCCTTGTCGTCCATGAATGGAGCTTTGAATAGAACATCCAGCCGTGGCCTTGTCTGAAGAATTCAGGCTTCCTGGGAATGTGATACTTGTTTCACCATATCAGAACATCCCAAACTGCTGAAGGCACTGTGAGCTAAACAACAATGGGGAGAGGCAGTAGTTTTGTTCCTGAACTAACTGCAAGCAAGCAAGTCGGTGATAAGAGAAACTGTATATTACTGCTGGCTGTGGTTACAGGCATAGCTGTACCTGTGACTTGCCTCTCTGTAAGGGGCCCATTTTTAACTAAGCATGACTCCTTGGTTTGATTAAATGTCCACCTGCCTTGCCTGACAGGGTCAAATGAGGTTGACTGCATGTAGAGGTATGTTGGCATGCTCTCCCAGTTTCTGATGACTTGTAGCACAGGCATATGCTGAGATAAAAACAGTATCTTAATATCTAATAGGTCTAGGATATTTTTTCCTTATTTTAGTTCTCTGAGTAGAATCCCAAATTTAGCCTGAGTTACCAGTGTGAAACACTGGTTTTTATCAAAGGCATTTTCTTTTTCGTTCTGTGTGGGCAGATAGATGCAGCAGCCTTACTTGAAGTTTCTACCCTAAGATGCCCCAAATTCTCTTGTCTTCTGTCTATCTTAAGGTATTAGCCTCATTTGAACAAAACACAGAATTTCCAAGGCTGCAACTCCTGTGCTGTAATGCATTGGTCACTCGGAGATACTGACTTTGTTCTTACCAATGGTCAAGCATCACCCAGGACCAGGCTAACTCTTGACTTATGATCTAGCTGATATCAAGATGGTAATCAAATGCAGAAATGCATATTAATGTTAGTGAATATCCTTTTCTTCCTTTCTACAGACCTATATTTGATCTGTTATTTAATGACCAGTTTTACTACATGTCCCTGATGAACTGTTGCTGATCCTCAAGTACTTTTACTTTTACCTTCTTGTTCTTCCCTGTGAAGGCTATGTTTCACAGGACTTGGCAGGTATGGACAGAACAGAGATCCTCTTAAACCCATACTACCGCTTAGTCAGGAAGATGGGTCTGGGATATCTTTCCCCATCCTTCCCTGGACCAGTCATGTTGCTTCTGTGTTGCATCTAGTTTCCTAGTCTTTTCTAGTCTTTTACTCGCGAACTAGGATCAAGGCATAAGAGTATAATGTGTTTTATCACTCTTGACTACTGCTTTAAAAAAAAAAAAAAAAGAACTTAGAGCTACTAAGCCACCTATTTGGATTAGGGCAAAGATAAGATTTAAAGGAAAACCTATTTTGCCTGTATTTACAGGATTTGGGAAGACAGGCAGGAAATAGAGCTGGTGCTGTGCAGTAGGGTTGAGTAGCCAGGAGGTGGCACCTGAAGTATTCCATTGCACTGAGAGCAGAAAGCAACCTATAAATAACACTGCTTTTGCTTCTTTGCAAGGGGAAAGGCTGTACTTTGTTAGCTGTGTGCTAAAAGGAAAAGTCATAATGGAGTGGATGCCTGCTTTCATCCAAACATCTCAAGCATCCCTTCTGATCTTTGAATTAATTCTGGGTATGATTATGGAGTGGTACCCAGAATTAATTCAAAGGTTGGAAAAATGTTTGCCATTTGATGCCTGTTCAGATTCTTTTTTTGACTGACTTGAAAATTGCTAGGTAACTTCTGGGCTTTTGGGGGGCATGCTTTTGTTTTCTTTAATGTGTTTTGTTTTCTGTTTATCAAGAGGCTAATGTTCTGACTTGTTGTGCTTGGAGTATCATTGATGCTGACAGGCAATCAGAATATTTTTTTCATCTTGGCAATGCTTTTAATCTTACCAGCTTGGTTTAAGTGGTCTCCAAACAGCTTCCACCTGACTAACACTCTAGTCTATATATAAATAAATATACCTGATGTATATTTTAAGTCTGCAAGGCAATGTGAATAAGGAGAAATCAAAGCACAGCTCGACCATTAGTCCATGACTCTGTTTTCCCTTACTGACCAGAAGCTTTATAGAGCGGCATTGTCAGCTGGATTATTAGTGCTATGGAGAAGATGGCTGTTTCAGCCACTTGCTTTAAGTGGTTAGGAAACCACAAGCTACAGCTGATCTGACTTCTTCTGTAAAAGAAATTACATAGCCTGAATCATAGCTATTTAAAACGTTTTCACCTTTAATAAGGTGCAACAGCCAGCTGGGGAATTCTAGCTTTTGATTAAATGCTTGGAGCAGCCAACCCTTCAACTGTACAACTTCCAAAATGGCAGGTGATGCTTTTTCTCCCTCAGGTAGCAAGTGAAAATATGCCTGTATTCCTAATTACATTGAAACTCACCAAAACAAACAAACAAAACAAAACAAATGGACTTTTTCTTAATCTGGTTTCTGAAGAACAGTATTTACTGTTAGGAGAATGATAGTAGCTAAATCCCTCTTGGTTTCCTTTTGTCTTGCAGTGAAAGATGCCTCCTGACCTTGGATCTCAGTTATGCCTGTGCCTTTAGGTGATACTTTAGCAGCATAAATGGGTTTTAAGTGAGACTTATGGGATCCTTTCAGGAGAGCACAGGTGTGAGGAGCAGGCATCAGCCACCCCAGCTCTGAGGTATGTAATTAGGTCAGATATGGAAGACTACTGTACAGGTAGATACCAGAAGCGTGTGGAGTGTGCTCCTAGCAGCTACGTGAACCAAAGCCTACATTTTAAGGGTGGATGCACCAGGATGTCAGGAAACTATAGCTTTTGCCCTCCATCCTTGTTAGCACTGCCCAAGAGCAAAGTAGGCTCCATGTCATGTGATAGTGCCAAGAACAGCCTGGCTACTACCTGCAGCCTGGCTTAAACCTTTCTTTGGGCCAAAAGAGAGCCTGGTTCCTCTCCAGGAAATGTAAGAGCTCACAGTGGAGGCTGAGAAATGCCTATTCCATCACTGAATGGACATTCAGCCTTATGGCCAGGTATGTCTCGCACAAGTGCGCTTACAGATTCCCACATCCCCACTTGCTTCCCACTGTGGTGTGTGTGGTTTGGGGGGTGAGGGGGGCAGGGGTTTTTTGTATCTGTTTTAGATGTTTTTCTTAGCAGATACTGCTAGCAGAATAAATGCTTTTACTTGAAATGCCTGTTGAAGATGAACACAAAAGAGCACATATGTAATGTTGTAGCAAATTTATGAAACTTACTTTCAGTAAATCTTCCTTCAAGTGTTCCCCTTTCCCTGAACTTGGCGCTTGTGTTCATACACTCTCCTGGCTAATGGTAAAACAAAGTCTCCTTCAGAAAACAGCCTCCACCACCACCTCCTTCCCCTAGAATATAACCTAACTGCTCAGCCTGTCCTGACATGACTGGTGGGGTTAGGTTTCTGTGCAGTGTCTATCAGCTATGCTCTGCTTCTAAGCTGATTTCTTTCTAGTAGAGACCTTTAGATAGGGTAGCAAACAAGTCTAGGCTGATCTTCACATATGCTGTGATCTGGTCTTTTCTGACATTTAGGTGAAAGTTGTGTGTGTGTCATAGGTTTTCCAAGGGATGAACTGTAGGTCCAATCTACCAGAAGCACAAGTCCTAAATAGCTTGATACGACTCAGTTTTAGTGTTTTTATAATGTCAGCACGCAGGAATAACTGATACAAACAGGTGTATCAGGTGGGGGCACTATTGTAGCCAGATGCTCAGATCTGATCTCATTTGCATTTGAAAACTTATAGCAGCAGAGTATGTTTCTGCTAAAGTTTCCAGCCCTCCTAAAGCTGCTGTTTATCAGGAGCTTTCTTGTGGCTCGACTGCTGGTTATCGTTTAAAATGATCTGTGCTACTGAGTGGAAAAACAACAGCAAAAAAGACTAATATAGGGAACGTAACTTCCTGGGTTGCTTGCTGTTCAAGTTTAGTTTACTTTATTAATGAGCCAAACCTTATTTTTGTCTATAAAAATTTCCTTCAAAACAGTAACAGTTTCCCTATGAGTTCTGCCAAAACAAATATTCCCGTTGCTTTATCTTGTGACATAAGCTGATGTTCCATACACTTTGTTTCTAGATACGCTTTCTACCATAAAAAGACAGTCTGTATCCAAGACGAGTTTCCAATATCCCTGTCTTATTTAAGAGATAAATGCTTTGAAAGCATTTATTGGACTCATTTCTGGAATTAACTCTTACACCAAACAGATACATCTGTCTGGTTTTATTTTGTGGTAGCTGACCAGAAATAGAAAGTAGAGAAAGGGGAGATTTCAGTTGTGTTTTGTTTTGTTTCCCATTCTGTGATAAAGTTGCAATGAAATGTTAAATGAACAGTTTAAAGCTGCTGACAAAACAAAAGCCATGCTATTTGTGATATCTCATATGCTAAAAAGGTTGTCAGTCTCTAGAAATAAAAAATGTAAGAGCTTGTCACTAATGCTGTATGCATGTTTTGTTCTTGGGAAAGTCAGATAAGTGTTGTATTGAAATGGACCCATATTACACATTCTGCAGATTTTCTTCCTCTTTTCTGTAATTGTAAAAAAAAAAAAAAAAAAAAAAAAAAAAAGAAGTAACATAACAATAGAAGAATAAAAGTGCCACCTCCCAAGTGGTAAATCTCAGTAACAGACTTTTGCAAAGGAAGGTACTGAAGATATTAGCTAGGCAGAGGCATTATGTTCCAGCAAGCAATTTCACCTTTCTGCAAATAACGACTGTGAGAGTGTTAAGATGTAGCGAGTAGATTTTTTCCTGCACAACTTATTACTTGTGGCCTTTTGTAATATCCCTTCAGCAGGGGGATGACATGACCTTTTTCAGCATATTTATCAGTCTCAGCCTCATGGGGAAGATGATGCGGTGTCAGAAATATAGATGCTGGGAGGAATGACCAATTCTAGAAGACTGGTCCAGAATCGGTTTTTGGCTGGGATGCTTTGAAATGCTCTTATCCTGGTGCCTGTACATGACTCTCCTTTTGAAGCTCTGCTTTCAAAGAGTGAAGTGTAATGCAGAATTCTATTTCTAGAACAAGAGTTATTAAAAGGAACTTAAAATTAGACTAAATAGTAGATGAAATGCATCTGACGAAGCACGTGTTAGGTTCAATGAAAGATGGAGAATGAAATCGTGCTTTGTGCTTTATGAAAAGGAAGGAGAGGGGAAGGGATTTTATGTGCCTTGTTTTCAGAGCAGAAGTATTGCAAAAATTGTGAAATAAGGGCATAGTTTCTGAATAACATAATGGATTTACTGATTTTGGAGGCTAGAATAGATATTTATAACACAGTACGTTGTCCTCCAATGAAACTGTTTTTGATCTTGTGAAAAGTGCTTTTTGCCTTTTTTCTACAGAGGCATGATCCTTCTCTCTTTCCTCTTGCAGAGAGTCTCATGTTGAAAGAGAGAGGATTTGATACTTGAGGGATGTGCTGACTTATTCAAATTGTTTTCTGATACTGCATTATGGCATTTCTTGCGTGTTTCCAAGAAGCTTCAGATATTCACTGTACTCAGAATATTTATATTAAAGGATTGATCTTCATTTCTTTGAAATCAATGACAAAACTTCTATTTATTTCAAACTTGCCAGGGTCAAGACTTGGAAGAACTGCTGTACTGATTCAGGAGGTCTGTTCTTTTACTCTTAAAAGATTGTGTACTGTATCCCATTTCCATTTAAAATATTTCTACAAAAAAGATTGTCTTGCTGCATTAATCCATTTACAACAGAAAAATTAATGATGTATGTGTCTGAATACATATGTTACATTCCTGGCACTGTTCTGCACCTTTTGCACTCCCTCTCAGAAATTTCAGATCTTCTACAGGGAGATATGAGTAAGCAAAGAAAATAGCTGTACCCTAAAGGTAGATGGGCATGACAAGAGAATGCCAGAATTCACTGATAGTGATATGGGAAGAAACAAGAATATGGTATTTAAATGGTCACTTTATGTAATAGCTCATAACTTCTCATACAGCAGGATTTGTGTACAATGTCAATGACTTCAGTGATTCTTTGTAAAGCTTGTTAGTCATTTCTGATGTGTTATGAAGGTGGTTTCTTAACCTTATTATTTATTTATTCTTCCAATCTTCTGTTTCATAGCTACCCTGCAGCACTTGTTTTTTCCACTGTGTCTCGGTTACTGACATTAATACCTGTTTTAGAGGCTGGAGCCTTTCCAGGGCAGGAATTTTTCATAGTGGGTGATGCATCATAAGGCTGTGAATGAGCAGTGAGGAAATGCACATTAGGGGCCTTCCTAAAGCTTTAATTTTCCTTTTTATATAGATAAATAGTATTGCTCTTTGCCTGCTGACTTTATATCACTAAACTTGTGTGGAAGTTCTGTTAAGGCTGCTGCTGAATGTCAAGATAATACTAAGGACAAGATAATGCTAGGGACTGTCCCTGCTTCTTACTGGGACTTGCTGTTTGGAGAAGTAAAAATGAGAATCTAGGAAATGAGGCTCGTTAGATGCCGTGGATTAAGGAATCCACTGACTATTTTAATTCTATACTAGCTCTAACGCTGCTCATGTTGCTCGTTGTTGACTGTGATCTGTGAGCAACTCCTTGTTGACAGAAAAGTGTTCCCAGTTATTGCTCGTCATGCTCTCTATGCAAGTGAGTTAAATAGGCAAACGGACTTTTTTAAACTCGTACTCTGCCAGTAATGTGAAAAGGAACAGACCTCCAAAGGGTTCGTGTTCTGCTGGCCAAAATAGCTGAGGATCCTCCCAGTCCAGGTTTACAAGAGAAGATTAAGTGGAGGGAAGAAGGGGGAACCCCCCCCCCCAAAGACTCAACAAATTTCTGGCTTCATGAGGTGAGGCCCATAGAGAGGGAGTCCTGCATTAGTGAAAATGTACAAAATAATCAAGTAGAGCACAGTATATGTTTAAGGAATGACCTCTTGTAAACTTTTATAGACAATTCCTCTGCTTGTCCAAAGCTGTTCCCTGAGGTACTGCTGAAAACCTTTGCCAGAAGTAACAGATTCGAATAGCAGGCATCTGATTCAAAACATTTTGCAGCTCATAAACAGGGCTACTTCTAGAAGAGGCAAATCACTTCCACAGAGGCCCATCGTGGCTTGTGACGTTGTGTGCGTCATGGCAATACTGAGGTGCTTGCGATTGCCTCCTTGGCACTTGTATAAAGCAAGTGGTCTTACTGCAGTCACTTCCACTGTCATATGAAGAGACAGTGATAAACACATACGAGGAGGTTAGGATGCTGCATCCAGTTGGAGTCCCTGAATTACTCTTTGAAACCTATGCTTTAATTTACCTTGGGGCGTGACCATTTCCTGCCTCTTCCCCCACCTTTCATAGTCCTATCATGAGGTCTAGCAGTGCTGGCACATGCTGGTCTGGATGGAGATAGAGACACCACCAGAGCCCAGCTGAGACAAGTGGGCAAGCTTGCTGGAGGACAAGCAGGAGGAGGCTGTAGTATGGAGATGAAGTTAAGGAAGAAGGCGGCATAATGAGGTCAAAGCGAGGTAAACCTGTAGAGCAAATTGATCTTTCAACTTATATGTTGGCAAGACAAGGCTTACTAGGGGAGGAAAAAAAAAAGTCCCATTTTTAATGTGTTTTTTACTTAGTAGCATGCTTTCAGTTTGTGTTCTGCTTTCCTATTCTGTTCAGAAGAACTATGTGAATGTTTCCTAGGATGACTTGTGTTTTAAGACGCTAATCCTGATGGTGTTTATGCACAGGCAAAGGTTTAAGCACTTGTTGGGCCCAATGGCTTATCCTTAAGGAAGTCCAGAAGGGTATGCAAGACTTTGACATAAGGGGAAAAAAATATATAATAGGATATAATAGGATAAAATGTTGTACTCTTTAGAAAATGTTAAATAGGAGGGAAAAAAAATGAGCCACTTGGATGAACTTAAAATTATGTTGAATTTAAGTGTTTTCAAACAGTGCATGGTAGTTTCTGCATGGAGTTTAGGTTTTCATTTTTCCTTATATACTGTAAAACTTCAGTTCCTTTAAAATTAAGAACAGTATTACTTCAAGAAATATGAAGAGTAACACTATACATTGCACTGTCCAAAAAATTTATAGTCCATCTTAAATGGGAAAATCTTGCAGAGAGCAGCTGTCAGGATGGTCAGATGTAGATTTTCAACTACTTTTTTTTTTTCTCTCTCTCTGCAATCAGTGTGAGAAAAGGGAAGAAAAAATGTATATAAACCATTGTCAGGTTTTCAGCTGAAAACAAATGGCGTAATTATGGAAAAAGTTCCAATCACAAGACCTCGTGTTTCCTCCAAAACCTCCATCTTTGAAGAAAAAGGTATACCTTGGACCTCTCTCAATGTGGATGAAGCTGAAAATATGTTGAGTAGAAGTAATCAAGTTAGTCAAGCGTAACCTAGTATGTCTAGGATTTATATGGCCAATTGGAGGAAGTAGTTTTTAATTAAAACTTGGTAGTCTTTTCTTGGTTTTGATCTGTTTAATGTTAACAAAAATATTTGATGGTCTATGCTTTTAAAGACAATATGAAGGGCAGAAAAGCCAAGGAATATCACTTGATGCTGAGTTAGTGGGTGATAGTGCTGTATTTTACTCTAGGTATTATATACCATTAGTTACACATAATATATTGCAGCTATTATCCATTTTTTCCATTAAAGACATGGAGAAATCACAGCAGAAAGACTTCAGTGATTTCATGCTGATGTTTTAAGGAGCATAAGATGCAGTTTTCAGCGTTGACTTGCAGTCTGCTCCAGCAGAGCTCCAATTCAACTTCAGGAATGGGGCAATAGAGCTCAGTTTAATAGAGCAGGTAAGTGACTTTCTATTTGAAGAAATGATTTGTCAGAATCTATCCCTATGGCTGTCAGCACTGTGATGACATCCAATCCAAACAATTGCCGAATATCTGAGAATTCCACTTAGTCATAGAAGTATTGATATACGTACTATATACCTTTGGCTGCATGCTAGTAACATCTTTTACTTAAAATACAGTACAGAAGCCTTGGGCATCTCAAGGTAGTTCACATACACTAAATGAGTGAGCTCTGCATTTTCCAAGCTGCGGATACTGTGGGAGCAAGTTCCTTGTACACAGATAGACTTGGGGAGAATCTGGGAATAAAAACTAATTGACTGAGTAATTTACTGATCCTGCTAAGAGTTCGGTCTGTGGATAGCTTTTTTTTTTGTATTGCCTGAGATTAGTCTGAGAACGTTCATAGGGCTTGCTTTTAAAGTGGTAATAACTTAAAATGGTGCATCAGAGGAATGTGTCAGAGTAAAGTTTTGTTTGTTGCGTTCCCTGACGTCTACCTGGGGGAATTATTATGAACACAGCTCATTGTGCTGAACTTATATTACTC